TCGGGAATGTTGGCTATGAAGATTGTGGGAGATGTTCTAGGTTGTCTATGCTTTCTAGAGACGGTTGTCCAGTCATGGTCGGTGTCTCCATTGTTGTAGCCAGCATCCATTCTTCCTTTTCCTTTTCCTGTTCTAAGCTTTGGCCTTGTTTTCAAGAGACCCGTTCTTTATCTGAGGAGGAGTCAACAAACAAGAGAAAGCTGAAATTCGATTTCTGGAAAACTTCAAGGCTGATTGAGAGCATTTGGCTGCAAAAATCTAGGCAAGCGTGGTTCAAGAATGGAGATAAAAATACCAAATATTTCCATATGATTGCAAGCACAAGGCAGAGGAAAAATTCAATTGGCAATCTAGTCATCAATGGAATTCTCTTAGAAGATCCGGAGCAAATAAAAAGAGCAGTTAGTTCTCATTTTCAGGAATTTTTCTCCGAAAAGTGGCCCTCAAGACCCACATTTTCAGAACCTTTTCAGCGCTCCCTTTCTGCTTTGTATGCCTCTCTGTTAGAACAACCTTTTTCTGAGACTGAGATCCTGGATGCTATAAATCATTGCGAAGGTAATAAGGCTCCTGGTCCTGACGGCTTCAATATGAAATTCATCAAAAAATGTTGGGCCTTCATAAAAGCATATCTTTGTCTCTTCTTCAATGAATTCCATCTTAACAGCAGGATTAAGAAAGGCCTGAATTCCACCTTCTTAACCTTGATTCCAAAAATTCCAAACCCATCTTCTCTACTGCAGATCTGTTTTCTGATGAGCTTCCTCCACTGCCCATGCCTGACTCTCTTGAGACTGCCTTGCCTACTGGTCTTTCTCAAGCACCTGCCAGCTCTGATGGTCCTGCTCTTGCTCCCTCGGACTCCTCACCCCCTGTTGAGTCTCTTCCTCTGGCTCCTCCTCCTCCTGCTCGACCACACCGGGTAATCCAACCTTCTACTCGTCTTCGTGACTTTATTGTTGGTTCTACTGCTTTTTCTACTTATGAACCCACCTCCTATCGGGAGGCTCGCTCTAATCCTCTTTGGCAGCAAGCTATGATTGATGAATTACAGGCTTTAGACAAAACTCACACTTGGGACATTGTTGATCTTCCTCCTGGCAAGACTGCCATTGGCTGTAAATGGGTATACAAAATCAAAACCTGTTCTGATGGATCTATTGAGCGCTATAAAGCTCGCCTTGTTGCTAAAGGCTTCAATCAAGAATATGGTATTGACTATGAGGAGACCTTTGCTCCTGTTGCTCGTCTCACCTCTGTTCGCAGCCTCATTGCAGTTGCTACTACCCGACACTGGGATCTTTATCAAATGGATGTGAAAAATGCCTTTCTTAATGGTGTTCTTCTTGAGGAGGTCTACATGCAACCTCCCCTTGGGTCTACTTATCCACCTCATAAAGTCTGCAAACTTCAACGTGCTTTATATGGTCTCAAACAAGCTCCCCGCGCTTGGTTTGCCAAGTTCAGCTCTACTATTCATGACTGTGGTTTCACCTCCAGCTCTTATGATACTGCACTTTTTATCCGCAAAACTGCTCAAGGGACCACTTTGCTTCTTCTTTATGTGGATGATATGATTATCACCGGTGATGATGTTAATGGTATTCTTCATCTTAAACAATTTCTTAGCCATCATTTCGAGATGAAAGACCTTGGTCCTCTCAGCTATTTCTTGGGTCTTGAAATCTTCCATGATTCCACGGGTTCTTTTCTCTCTCAGGCTAAGTATACCTCTGATCTTCTCACCCGTGCTGGTCTTACCGATTGCAAGACTGCCTCAACTCCCCTGGAGCCTCAGAGTCGTCTTACACCTCTTGATGGCACTCTTCTCTCTGATGCTACTCTATATCGTCAGCTGGTTGGTAGTCTTGTCTATCTCACTGTTACTCGTCCTGATATTGCCTATGCCGTCCATATTGTCAGCCAGTTTATGTCGGCTCCTCGTACCACACATTATGCTGCATTAATTCGTATCCTTCGCTATCTCAAAGGCACCATGTTTCATGGTCTTCATTATTCCGCCCGCTCCTCTCTCCGGCTTCGTGCTTTCTCTGATGCTGATTGGGCTGGGGATCCTACTGACCGCCGCTCTACTACTGGGTTTTGCTTTTTTCTGGGAGATTCTCTTATTTCTTGGCGCAGTAAGAAACAATCTCTTACTGCTCGTTCTAGTACCGAAGCCGAATATCGTGCCCTTGCTGATACTACGAATTTCCACCAAAACTCCATTTTCATGGTGCACACTTTGGCTTCAATTTCCCATTCACTCGGTAATGGTTTTGAGCAACCAAATATACCACGTGAATCACAACGCGGCATAGAACGCGTTACCACTTTGACCCGAGTTAATCGACACTCGGGGCCCACCTAAAAAATAGACCTAACTTAGGAAAAAATTAACCATTTCCAACAGATGGATCAATAAAAGTTGTTGTCTTAATTAAATACAAGTTTAATTGTGTATAATCAATACTTGATCATCTCAAGCCTATAAAATAAGTATGGAGGTCTGGAAGGGAGCGTATCCCTTTTGGGAAATTCTTTGTTTGATTTTCATTTATTGCCAACTATGTTTCATGGATGCGTCAAAGGTCTTCATTTTGCCATCAATAATTATGAAAAATTTACTTCATTAATACTGTGTTTGGTTGGGGGATTTGAGTAGAGATTTGGAAAGGGAAAGAAAAAAGGTGTGCGAAACTAAGCAAAATATAGGCATGTTTTATTCACATTTCACCTACCTTTTCTTTTTCCATTTCCCTTTCCAAATCGCTCTCTAAATCTCCTAACCAAACACAGTATAAATCTGTATTTGAAATTCAAAAGTGGTTAAAAGGAAATTTTAAAACTTGTAACAATGTGATAGTTATAGTTATAAACCATTGATTTTAAATTATGATAACGTATTGCATATTTATAAAACAAAATGGAAATCTCATTTCTTAAAATGAAGAGGATCAAAATCGGGGAGGCGTGAGTGAGAAAAATACTATTAGTAAGGTTGAAGAAATACCTTTTTTACAAATATATATATATATATTAATAATTAAATGTATTATTTTAATAAGTATTCTATTTCAAAATAATAAGTCCCATAATATTATTTTGTATACAAAATCTACGTATTTTTTTCTCCCTTTGTATGTCGTTAGTTATGGGTAACATTAGCACCACAAAAATGTGTGTATTTTTTTTTTTTTTGGTGGTACTTTTAATTTATATAAAAGTTACATAAAAAAATACATCTAGAATGATGTGAGGATAGTATTTTAAGAGTCATCTTCATGGGTTGGGATGGCAAAAATCCCCAATCCAATAGGTCTCCAACCCGAATAAAATAGGTTTGAGGGTTTCTCAATACAGTAAGATCAAATTTTGGGTGCCAGAATAAAACCTATCTCGTTTAGTTTGAAATTTCAAAAACAATTTTTTTAGTCATGAATTAAGAGTCATCAATTTTATTTATTTTTTTACTTTTAGATATACTTAATCTTGATATACTTAAAAAGTATAAATTTGTCGAAATGTTTTTTTAAAAATAACACAACAAAATATGTACTGAATTTTCATTTTTTTGGGTGCACTTTTTGTATTTGTTGAATTTTAATGAATTTTTTTTAAAAAAAAATTACAAATATTATACTTTTTAAGTATATCTAAATTAAATGTATCTAAAAATATAAAATTTGTGTAAAATATTAAAAAAAATTCACAAAAGATAAAAAAGTACATAAAATAAAAAAATTCAATTTTCATAAAAACTGAGATAACCAAACAAGCACACCGTTCGGGTCAAGTGCTGGGGAGAATATGCCTGACCCAGTTATGTGTACTATTCATTTTGATCACCAAACTCCTCCATATTCCACTGTTTGAGAGCTGATTTCACTTCCTTGAGCTTCATGAAAATTCTGTGCCCAGAAAAAGTTATGTGTACTATTAAAAAAATGTCTCACTTTTTAACATATGTTTCGTCATACAAAATGATTTTAAAGATTTCTTGTGTTCAATTTTTATGTTTTCTGGTGTTCTTTCTAACTTCCCTTTCCCTCAACAATCCCACTAGGAGGTGTTTGGTATGTGCTAAAATAGCATGTTGTGTTTGGTATGTACTAAAATAACACATACTATTTTAGCACATTATCTTATTTAGGTCATAATCATTTTATTTGGATAACATCATTTTTCTATCACGACACTTCAAAATCAATCCATATTTTACAATTTTTTTGTACAAGGTCAAAAAATATACTCATTTAGATAATCTCAAATACCTCCTAAGATTAATATCAAACAACACTGAGTGTTATAAATCATTTCCCATTCTAAGTTATAAAACCACATTATTAAGGCCTACTTTGGGAAGTGGGTTATAATCCGCTTCCGAGATTATAACCCATTTCCTCTCTCACAAAGAAGCTGCTTATAAGCAGCTTATAAGCAGTTTTTCACCAAAAAACTGATTATAACTATCTTTCCAAAATAGCATTAAAATTCAATTACAAAAATACAAGTTGTAAAGCTAATCCGGTGCGTAGAATTGGGGGCGGAGCAGGGCGGGATATATCAGGTAAGGTCAAGTATAGGGTAAGATTCACTAAACAGAGATTGGGGTTTAGATAGCGTGTTTTCATTTAAAATGAATGGCACCAATTTAACCATATCATTACATAAAAAAGAAAATTTGCATAACTTTTATCTGCTTGTTCGTGGAAACGAAAGTACAAAATTTACTGTGGAAGCAACATTATGAGCTTTGGAATATCATTTGCCCAAGATGGAACAAGACTCGTACAAAAGCGAATTGTACATCAAACAACGAAATGCCAAACCCACAAGGAAGAAATGAAGAGAAATTGAAATGTTTTACACCGCAAACATGGTGATGCGTGCATTGCTTCATGCAATCAATCCACTGCTTTGCAATCAAGATTAAAAAAGGCACACACACACACAAGAACAAGAACAAGAAAATGAAGAAAAGTGAATAGAATCAAGAGTGTCATAGTTTCCAATGATCTTCAAACACATTCATTAACATTTTGTTCAAGCAAACAATTACAATTTACAAACCAATAGAAGAAGAGCACACTGATAGCTTTTGTTTTATAATTCATAAATCCAACGTCAAGTTCGATTATTTTAAGGACATGTTCGTAAAACAAGCAAAAAATAATGGACAAAGCACCACTCTAGCTTCCACCATTATAACTGGTGGTGGTGATGTTGCCTCGAACTGGTATCCCAGGTCTATCCAACCGACCACAGTCTGGATATGCTTTGGTCCTCAAGTTAGAATGTAAAGCCGAACCCCTTTCTGAAATAGTATCTACATCCCAAAACCCACGAGCAAACCTCGTTGTTGAACCACGATCTTCAACCTGTAATCTCTGCCTCGGAGCACTCTGGGACCTGATCTTTGCCAGAGAAGATTCAGTGGTAGCCATGTAGTTTGGGTATCCCAGGTACTCGTCAAAGAAGCTTCTTGAGAACTTGCTCCTTGCAGGTGAGAAGGAACCTCTCCTGCCACTACTTCCAGGTCTAGACGATGCAGAGTTCTCACTAGTCCATGCATATGGATTTTGTTTCAGAGCTTTTGTTGACTGTCTTGATAGAGGGTCGAATATTGTGAGGCCCTGATCGTTGTAATTGCATGCTGTAACATGTTGTGCTGTCCTAGAGATTTTGGAGTTGAGGTGAGGCTTCCAAGTGTCCACTTCAAGAATCTTATCACTGCTCTCGTCATCACCACGTCCAATTTTTAACGAGGCATCTACTTGGCTGTTCCATGTACATTCTTCCATCCATCGATCTAACCAAGTTGAACCCAAATTTGTCCTTTCTTGGTCAACATTGCTCTTGATCTTTATACTTGATTGAGAACTCTGCATTTGTGGAAAACCGTAGGATGCTTTTAATATTAACTAATTTGTTACACATGAGATGATTTGTTTCTGAAGCAAATTCAAGGGTTTCCACTTCGAATTTTTCAGGATCATGTTCCGAAGTTTAAATTAATTAACTTTGACACAAAAAAATCAACTACTGATTATATGTCCAGATTCAGTACACAGTAATTCAACTACTGAACTTATTTTTAGTACTTCAACATAACTTCAATGTGTAGAAATCAAATAGTTGAAACTTGAAATGGATGTTTTTTTTTTCCACTTAAAATTGCTTCCGAAGTTGCATATTCAATTAGTTATAGATATACTAAAACACTACTCATTATAAAAAACAAATAAATAAATAAATAAACTTGGAAATGAAGTCACTACCTTCAATATGGGGGACCAATCAGATTTTGAACCATATGCACGAAGTTGGTTGTCATATATTTTGGGAGTCGCAAGGCCCTTCATGAATATGATATAAGAGTTAATATAGTTAGCCATATAAAACCACTAGAACAAGCCGAAGAAGCATACAATTATCTGAAAGAATATAAAAAAATTGTTGAAATTTAAGATTTAAAAGTTCCTATTTCAATATTCCTCTACTAGGCTAGTTCAATGTTCATATTCAGTCTTCCTCTACTAGGCAGGTTCTCTTATATATCTTGCATTTTCACTTGATCTATGCATGTAGCATACTGCACTAGTCCAAAGTTCATTACATGAGTATCCCAAATTGTCAAAATTAATGGTTGAGGGAAAATGCTGTAAATCCTCAACCTTTTAGTTCAGAATCCAGATAGCATTTTTCTACATTATTTTAAAAAAAAAAAAAAAAAATGTGGTTCATGATTTTTCATGGATCATTTTCAATAAGAAATATGAGGGTACACTTACAAGATTGCAGGATTGGGAGGACTTGTTGGTAGAATGTGAGGACTCTGACACATGAGCCCGATTTGCACATGCCCGGGCCTGGATTCGGGCCAATGCTTGCATGCATCGGAGCATGTCTGCACTGCGCTTTCTGACAATGTGGCCTCTCACCAATGCCTGAAGCCTGACCAATCCCTTAAGTGCCCTCAGTGCCCTCCTAGCCTTCAGAATTTTTCCCCAAAAAATAAATTAGCTATGCAAATAAATTAATCCAGCACCATCATTTATACATTAGGTATGCATTTCAGTTAAAACTACCTACGTAGGGACCCATTCAATATGCTGATGCATATAATTTAAAAACTAATTTTGGTGGATCATAAGTCGAAATAATACACATTAGATTGTAATTTTGTGAATGTGAAGGCAGGTGCACAAAATCATAACTTGACTTGGAAAAATAATATCCCGCATGTTAATTTTGAAAAAAGTACCAATATATATAGGGCAAGAAAAACAACCAAAGTACTTTGAATAAATGCGGGGTAAGTGTGTGTCCATCATGATTTTACATAGTACCAACAATTGCACATCACATTTTTATATCAACTTCCATGGAAAATAAAGTAGATGAACATGTACAATATAACCTCTTTAAATTAATAGCTTTGGGACCACCTAAAGTCTATTAATTTAGTGAGATATCAATTTATCGATAAATTAATAATTATTAATTTACAAATTTTTTTTATTTTTTTGGGCTTAACAATATTCGATGAATTCGATTTATCACATCAAGTGACCAAGTTAAGATTCAAAGTATTATAAGATATATTTCTATATTTAACCAATTAAGAGTTCATTGAATTATAATTAGCACAAAAATATAATGTATTCAACTTATTTAAAACAAGTCCATGCAATTTATTGAATTTTCCCTTATTTTTTTTGGTATCTTTAGTTCAAAAATAGCAAACATGGCTTCCAATCTCAAAGGTGTCAACAAAAAAACCATGACAGAAGAAATGTATTATGTACTTTTTAGCTAATTATTAATTTATAAAATATTTGGGACGTCTAAAATACAAAGGAAATATTTGAAATGTATTATCTTATAATTTTATGGAGTTAGCACTTTGGTCCAGAGTCGAGACCAAACAATTTTACTATTTAAAAGAAACTATTAATTTATCGAATATTAATTTAAAGACGTTATACTGTAGTTCACTCTTGCGTGGCTTTAAAAGAAACTATCTCTCTGTACACTTTTATTGAAAAACTCTAAGAAGCATTGGCATCCTTAGATAAATGGGTCTATTATAGTGCCCTTCAAAGTATGTGAATATTATATCGACCTCCCTTTTAGTAACTATAACATAAATCGAGTAAACACAAAAAATAAAAGAGTTAATTATTAAAAAGTCTTGTCTACATATTTGGTGATAGCTTAGGTCCTGTCAAAAAGTTTTTGAACCAATAAGTCCCATTTATAGGTAAAAAGACGTTTTACCCTTTAATTCCAAAATTGAGAATGTTCTCAATTTTAAAACTGAGAATGTTCTCAATTTTCAAAACAGAGAATGATTTCAGTATATAATTATCAAACTAAGAAATTTCTGTTTGGCTTCTGAGAAAAGTATGGGATTGAAGAGAAAAATAATTCTGTGAACCTGACACATTAGATTGCTAAATTGAGTTTTTTTTCATGAATAAAATTGAGAATATTATAAACTGAGAATATTCTCAATTTCAAAAAAGAGACTCAGATACACAGTGACTCGAGTTTAACAGAGAGTTTACAATTGAGGGTCGTGGCTTGCTTTGTGTTGCGATTGTAGAATCTAAATCTGGAGCCGACAACACACTGGACGGAGGGGAAGCAATCGGAGGTGAGAGGAGAGGGACTGAGGCAGATGAGGAGCCGTATGGATGAGACCAAAGATTGGGTATGTGGGGAGGAGAAGGAGGGGTAATACGACGACGATCATAACAAGAACAATTCAACAAAGACCTAGCAAACGAAATGACGAAGCAGAAGTATGCAAAGACACAACCTTTGGCACATCTTCGGGGGAGACCGGAACAACCTCTGCGGTAGATATCTTGGCAGTGATCGGTGAGCTAATGCGAAATGCTCTGTGGCCATTTCGCGGCTCGCGAGCAAGTACTTTGGAAGCAAATCCAAAGGGCTTGATCTTATCGACCTGGTTTTGGAGAGATCCAAAGCTACGGCACGCTAAGGAACTGTGAATCGCTCGAGCAACCATCACTTGCGCCATTGTTGAATGCTTTAGAGAGAGAAAAAAACTAGTGAGAGAGAGAGAGAGAGAAGATTGATTGAAGTGAGGTTTGGCTGTGTTGCCTCTAAATTGAGCTTTCTTTGGAGAAATCGCTGATGAATTTGGTGGAGAGGGAAGGGGGTTTGGATTGGTAAATTGGTCTATTAAAAATTAATGGGACTTGAAGGAGCAAATAATTTTATCTAGAACCTAATAGATTATAAGTTCACAAAATGGGACTTGTATGTAAATGCCCCAAAATAAAACCACCTTTTCAGCCTTAGATGCTTTATACATATATTATATCTCAAATCTAACTTTAATGTCAAATGACAAAAAGTATCTAATGATTTTACTAAATTGACCTTGTTAACCTTAACACCAATCCAATTATGCAACTGACATTTTTCAGAAAGTTGGAATAACTGCTTCAAAAAAAAAAAAAAAAAAAAGTTTGGAATAAATGGCTGTAATTTTAATCCATCTCCTTCTGCTGTTAAATCCAATGTTTATTTTGGGTCAAAATCTTGTAACCTAGAGCTTTAGCTCAAACTGCTGCAAATGTTACATGGTTATATAAGCTACTCGATGATCTTCATATATGTCTTACTAATCCTCATGTCATATGGTGTGAGAATCAGTCCTTCGTTTTAAAATTTTGCCGCAACTGTTACGTACAGTTTTAGTGGTTAACTTAATCCGTTACAACCAGTATAGCAGAGTGAAAGAAATTCACAACCATAACGGCCATTACAGTGGCAATATATCATAGTTACAGCCATTACGAACTTACAACTGTTGCACTTTTTTCTTTTATCGACAAACTTTCGTTACTTTCTCGTTTGATTCCTTCATTATTAGCTTATATTTATTTGGTTTTAAGTTAAATTTGTTGAACAAAATTTGGATAACATGTCATGTATTTTACACTAGTATCTTGACATTTTTTATTATGAACTTATGTTTACAAGACTATCATTTTTAATATTCAGCATACTTCATGAATTTTTCCTTTATTAGTAGGATTATCCGTAAGTACAATCAGTAAAGTAAAGAAATTTAATTACATCTAGCAAAGAAATCTGTATAGCAACTTGGAACTAGTATAAAAATTAGTACATATAACAGATCATGTTTAAAAAACTAAACAAAACACATTAGAAACTATTTTGAACTTCACTAAATATGATTACGAAATAATAAAAAAAAGTATTGATATGTTTTTCCAAAATTGTGTATAGAATTAACAATACATAGCTCTAGTAGCTGCCACCATTGTGCTATAGCCGTTACACCACGCACCACGTCAGTGCTACCATAACTGTTATGGTAGCCGCCACCAATACTTAAAACCCTTAATCAGTCTGCTATAGATTTGGCCTCTAATCTCATATTTGATGCTAGAACTAAGTATATTGAAGTGGATTACCACTTTATTACAGAGAAGGTTTTGAACAAGCAAATTGTTGAGATTGCTAATGTTTCTCAAATCCAAACTAAAGTTTGTTGATGCCCCCATTTGCATTGGGGCAGGATCGGAGGGAGGGGTGGTCAGGGGGTCGTGGCCTCTTTAAAATTCTGGAAAATTCCATTTCTATACAAGTGTTATTCTTTAAAAATATGTACCCAGTGTAATGACCCTCCAAATTCAATTCGGCACCCCAAAAAATTTGTAAAGCCCACTTAAGTTGTCTTTCAAATTAATAAACCATGTATTGGTCCACTAAAAGTTTAATCTGTCCTCCAGTTAAAAAGCCATTGATTCACATGTTAAAAAAAAAAAACATTGCAATAAACAAGGAATATAGTTGACTTGATTGGTATGAAATCATATTAAACAAACTTTTACTAAATGAATTAATTGTGGAAGAGAAAATAAATTATTTCTTATGAGGGTTCAATAATTTATTGGACCACTTGTAAAGTTTTATGGACATATGAATATTGAGCTATATTTTAATAATTATATAGGATTTAGGAGAGGTGAGTATATATCATGTTAAAATTGACACCAGTCTCCTATAATTTTTAATAGAACTAATTGGCCTATATTAAGTAATATTTTAATAATTATTTACTCAATTAAAACATGACTTGATCTATGTTAAGTAATAGTTTTGTATACTTGTTCAGTTATTTAGATGAAGTCCAGCTAACCATAGTTAGTTAGAGTCCCTCTGTAATACAAAACTCATTGCTTATTTATTTTTTCAAATCCCTCATTCTCTCTCAGTTTCTTGTTCAACATCTCCAATAGCTTTTCTATTTTGTTAAAGCATATACTTGACGATTTAAAGCATACTCCCCTATTCATTAGATAGAAAATATCACTAAGATTTTGTAATCCACTGCCAAACATAATCCAATTCCAAGAGCTCATATTGAACCAGAATAACAATATATATTCCATTTGAGCTCCCTTATTGAATTCCTCAATCAATGGACATTCTCAATATTATACCTTTGAACTCCAACCTCCAGCCCTTTTTTATATATAAAAAACTACGATATAAATAATCAATTTCTATTTTTTCGTCATGTATTTTTTAGTTTCCAATAATAATAATAATAAAAGAGCACGCGGGCTGTAAGTCCAATTTCAAAACTTTTGGGGTAATAGCTCCAAACTTCATTTTTTTGGAGCCAAAAGGACAATAATTTGGAAGACTATATTATCCCTATTTATCGGTCCACTGTTTACTTATCTTTCCATGTTACCTATCTGTCCACCTATCTTTCCCAGTGTCATTTATCTGTCAACATGCCATCCTTTATTTGTCACTTATCTATCCACCTAATCTATCTATTTGTCCATATCACTACCACCACCGGTTGTTGCCACTGCCCGCCGCCGCTGACTTTTTCGGCCACTTTTTTGGTGCCGGCGGTTGTCCAACGATGATCTAACGACAATGGGGTAAGAATGACAAAATAAATTCAAAACAATAACTTGTTCTCTCACCAAACAATTTTATTGATCATGTTCTTGTCTCCATAAAAAAATCAATTCTTGGACCTAATGTCATATCCCCATAGACTTATCACCAGTTTAAAAAAATAAAAAAAAACAAAACAAAACAATTAACATAGCTAAACACATTTGATTCTTAAAACTTTTACATTTTCTAAAACAAAATTATATTTTCGAACGCAAAACTAACACTTTGTTTGAGCTATTAGGTGTGAGATTAAAGGGTTATGCCTAGATTAATTTCACATGAAAGTTTGGATTTTTTTTTTTTACTTTTTTTTTTTGGAGCCAAAAGGACAATAATTTGGAAGACTATATTATCCCTATTTATCGGTCCACTGTTTACTTATCTTTCCATGTTACCTATCTGTCCACCTATCTTTCCCAGTGTCATTTATCTGTCAACATGCCATCCTTTATTTGTCACTTATCTATCCACCTAATCTATCTATTTGTCCATATCACTACCACCACCGGTTGTTGCCACTGCCCGCCGCCGCTGACTTTTTCGGCCACTTTTTTGGTGCCGGCGGTTGTCCAACGATGATCTAACGACAATGGGGTAAGAATGACAAAATAAATTCAAAACAATAACTTGTTCTCTCACCAAACAATTTTATTGATCATGTTCTTGTCTCCATAAAAAAATCAATTCTTGAACCTAATGTCATATCCCCATAGAAATAGACTTATCACCAGTTTAAAAAAATAAAAAAAACAAAACAAAACAATTAACATAGCTAAACACATTTGATTCTTAAAACTTTTACATTTTCTAAAACAAAATTATATTTTCGAACAGCAAAACTAACACTTTGTTTGAGCTATTAGGTGTGAGATTAAAGGGTTATGCCTAGATTAATTTCACATGAAAGTTTGGACTTTTTTTTTTTTTTTTTTTTTCGATTGGGCAAGTTTGGACCATGTGGAGCATGGATGTTTGATAAGTTAGGCCCATTCGATATCATTTTTAAAATTTAAAAAATAAAAACAACAAAAATTGACACAATGACACAAATTTTTTTATAATTGTTTTGTAATTTTTTTTAAAAATATTTTTGCACAAGAATAAAGCAATTGATATTTTTAAACTTTTCAATGTTTTAGTTTTAAAATATGAAAATAAAATCAATATCAATTAAATTTAGTAAAAATTGCAAATAAATGATAGTTGAAAAAAGAATTGCAAAAGAATGGAAGAATAAAAAATAATTGCAACATAAATGGAAAGTTCAAAAAAAGTACTAAAACATTGAATCTACTTTATTAGTCTTCTTGGATCAAACTACCCCTTTTTCTTTTTTGAATTTACCAAGTTGTCCCTTTCTCTGCTCTTCTTCCTCTTCCATCTCCTTCATCCTTTTGTAATTCTAGTAGCTAGCCACCGGCCGCCACTCCCATGCCATCTCCCACCACCCCCAACCCCTTTCCCCAATCATCCCCACCACCATTGCTTGCTTTTTCCATTGTCCCCAACCCCTACCCACTAGTGGTGAAGCAAAGATTTTATTCTAAGGGAGGACAAGAATAATTTTCAAAAAACAATTAGTAAATAAAAATAACACATTATTATGAATATGATAAAAAAAATGCCATCAAAAAGTCATTTTATAAATTCATATCAAGTGTACATTCCTGGTAATATGGCTATAGTTTAAAGTTTTCCTTAAAAACTGCATAAATCAAAGTATGAATATTAAAATGTCATTAGTTATAATATATGAGAGTCATTATATTAAGTCAATTGTAAAGTATTTGCACTATATATATAAAAAAAAAATTCAAAATAATAATACTATATATATATATTTCAAAATCAATAGTGGCTAAGAGAAAATGTTATTGGTTAATGTATGAGAGTAGGTTCTGTGCACAATACTATATATATGCTTTTCAAAAATCAAGGAGGGGGGAGGGCATGACACCCCCTATCTTAGTCCTTACTCCCCAACATCCCCATCGCTCTCCAGCCACCCTCAACCTACCATCCCATCCCATTCCGTCCAACAACGCTTGTCACTCAAAATCTAACCATTACAGAACTCTCTGGCCTCTTGTCGTGACCCAAAACACCAAATCCCCGTTGTTGAAAAACCCAATTGGTGTAAA